TGTAAACAGAAGTTTATTGCTCGCAGTTCTAGAGGCCGGAAGTTGGAGATCGGGGTGCCAGCATGGTCAGGTGAGGGCTCTCTTTCCGGCTGCAGACTTCTTGGTGTATTCTTGCCTGGGGGAAGGAGCTAAGAGTCTCTGCAGGGCTTCCCTGGTGGCGCAGTGGTTGAGAATCTGCCTGCTAATACAGGGGACACGGGTTCGAGCCCCGGTCTGGGAAGATCCCACATGCTGCGGAGCAACTGGGCCCGTGGGCCACAATTACTGAGCCTGCGCGTCTGGAGCCTGTGCTCCACAACAAGAGAGGCCACGACAGTGAGAGGCCCGCGCACCGCGATGAAGAGTGGCCCCCGCTTGCCGCAACTAGAGAGAGCCCTCGCACAGAGACGAAGACCCAACACAGCCACAAATAAAAATAAATAAATTAAAAGAAGGCTCAACATGAAAAAAAAAAAAAAAAAGTCTCTGCAGCCTTTTTTATAGGCACGAGTCCCATTCATATCATCAGGATTCCCCCCTCCTGGCTGAAGCACCTCCCGAAGGCCCTGCCTTCTAACACCATCACATTGAGAGTTAGGATTCCAACAAGCGAATTTTAGGGGGACACAAACATTTAAACCATGGCAGATTCCTTGCTGTGTCCTCACGTGGCAGAGAGAGAGGGGAAGCAAGCCCTCTCACGTTTGTCCTTATGAAGACACTAATCCCATCGTGAGGACGCCACCCTCATGACCTGATCACCCGCAAAGGCTCCATCTCCAAAAGCATCACACTGGGGATTAGCGTTTCAACATACAGGTTTTGGGGGGACGGACATCAACATTCAGTCCATAGCAGTAAATGTATATTTAACTTTCTACGAAACTGCCAAACTGTTCCAGTGTGATTGCACTGCTTTACGTTCCCAAGAGTAGTGCATGCACCTCACCAGCTCTGGACTTGGTCAGCCTTCTTAATTGTAGCTGTCTGAATGGGTGCATAGTGGTGTCTTACTGTGGTTTAATTCGCATTTCTCTAACGAATGATGTTTAGTATCTCTTCATTTGCTTATCTGTCATCAGCATATCTTCTTTAGTGATGTGTTCTGTTCAAATCAGTTTTTAATTGGGTTGTTTGTTTTCCAGTTATTGGGTTTTGACAGTTGTTTTATACATTCTGGATACAAGTCTTTTATCAGATAGGTAATTTGCACATGTTTTTTCCCAGTCTGTGGCTCGTTTTTTCATTCTTTTAACACTGTCTCTCCAGCGTCCGGAGTTTTTAATTTTTTGAAGTCTAGTGTATTAATTTGTCCTTATATGGATTATGCTTTTGCTGTGGTATCCAAGACACTGTGCCTAACCCACAGCCCCAAAGATTTTCTCCTGTGTTTTCCCCTAGAAGTTTTACAGTTTTAGGCTTTACATTTAGGTCTCTGATCCATTTGGGTTTTTAAAAAGTATGTGAGACGTATGGATTAGTTATGTCTTGTTTGTTTTTAATATACGAGTATCTACTTGTTCCAACACCATTTGTGAAACTATTGTCCTTTCTCCACTATGTTAATGGAGTTTGCAGCCTTTGCTGAAAAATCAATTGACCATATATGTTTGAGTCTATTTTTGGACTCTATTCAGTTCCATTGATCTATTATTTGCATAACTTAACACCTATACCACACTGTCTCGATTACTGTAGCTTTATAACAGGTCTTAAAGTTGGGAAATATAAGTCCTTCACTTCGTTTGTTTGATGTTGTTTTTTGTTTGTTTCACGTTGTTTTGGCTATCCTGGGTCCTTTGCATTTCCACATGCATTTAAAAAGGACCTTGTCATTTTCTACCCTTTTTGGGGTGAATTTTGATGGAGGCTGTGTTGAAGCCATAGGTCGATTTGGGGAGCATTTACATCTTAATAATACTGGCCTCTGGTCCATGGTTATGGTATGTCTGTCTCTTTATGCAGGTAATTTTAAAATTCCTCTCATCAGTGTTTGAAAGTTCTCAGTGTATAGCTCTTATACAGCTATTGTCATATTTATCCCTAAGTATTCCTCATTTCTTGATGCTGTTGCAAATGGCAGGTAAACCTTTTTTTTAACTTCTAAATGTTCATGCTAGTATATAGAAATACAGTTGCTTTTTCTATGTTGAACTTGTATCCTACAACCTCACTAAGCTCAATTATTAGATCTAACAGCCTTTTTTTGTAGATTCCGTCAGATTTTCTACATAGTTGCTACTGCCATCTGCAGAGACAGTTTTATTTCTTCTTCCTAATCTGAAGGCCTTTTATTTCTTTTTCTTGCCTTATTGCACTGGCTAGGACTTCTAGTCCCATGGCAACAGGAGTGGTAAGAGAACATCCCTACCTCATCCCTGATCTCCGTGGAAAAACATTCATCATTAAGTATGATGGTAGCTGTTCATTTTTTATAGATGCCTTTTATCAGGTTAAGGAGGTTAACCTTATTTCTCACCTTATTGCACTGGCTAGGACTTCTAGTCCAATGGCAACAGGAGTGGTAAGAGAACATCCCTGCCTCATTCCTGATCTCAGTGGGAAAACATTCGTCGTTAAGTATGATGGTAGCTGTTCATTTTTTATAGATGCCTTTTATCAGGTTAAGAAGTTACTTTCTCTTCCTAGTTTGCTGAAATTTTTTTTTATCATGAATGGATGTTGAATTTTGTTCAGTGCTTTCTCTGCATACACTGAGATATAACCATATCATTTTTTTCTGACTGATTTTCACATGGTGATGCAGCCTTGCGTTCCTGGGATGAGTTCAACTTATTCAGGATGTATTATCCTTCATATTATTGCTGGGGTTGATTTGCTGACACTTTGTTAAGAATTTTGGCTTCTGAGTTCAAGAGAGAACCTCTCTGGTCACTGGTGGTTTGGCTGGCCCCAAGTGAGAGATGCCTCTCCCCATCAGGCAGGCTCATGGGGTACAAACGTGGCCATGTGGAACCTCCCCTTCATCAGCTGTAGGTAGTGTTGATTCCTAGAAAAGGGACCTTAGGCAAACGGGCACCCCAAAACACATCCTCTGTATTTGTGTGGGCCTGGAGTCCCTGGGAGTGTGTCATCTACCATCTCCACACCCTGAATATCCACCCTGCTGCAGGTGTGGCCATCCCATCATGCATTGGAAAGAGCCCTGACTCGGAGGCTGAGATTTGAGGGTGTGTTGGGGTGAGCCCTGGTCATGGCCACTCCTGAGTTAGCACAGTGGGGACATATATCAAGGGCCCAAAATAGTCCTACCTTTTAAAATTTCTACCTATTGATGGACTTCCCTGGTGGTGCAGTGGTTAAGAATCCGCCTGCTAGTGCAGGGGACACGGGTTCCATCCCTGGTCTGGGAAGATCCCACATGCTGCGGAGCAGCTAAGCCCGTGTGCCACAGCTACTAAGCCTGTGCTCTAGAGCCCGTGAGCCACAACTACTGAGCCCAAGTGCCACAACTACTGAAGCCTGCGCACCCTAGAGCCTGTGAGCTGAAACTACTGAGCCCACGTGCTGCAACTACTGAAGCCCACACGCCCAGAGCCCGTGCTCCGCAACAAGAGAAACCACCGCAGTGAGAAGCCCCCGCTCACTGCAACTAGAAAAAAGCCCGCGTGCAGCAGCGAAGACCAAATGCAGACTAACTAACTAACTAACTAACTAACTAAATAAATAAATAAATAAAATCCCTACCCATTGATTCCTGTTTTCAGACTCTCTGCTACAGAAATACTTCGTGATGTGGAAATGGCTTTATCCATAGAGATGTGTATTGCACCACGGTTTATTAATCGGAAAAGGATGGGAATAAAACCCAAATTCCTAGGAGGATGGGATTGGCTGAGGAAATAGCATGATGTCTGCTGAATGAAAGACTCTATAACCATTAAAGGAGTGATTTGTGGAGATTGTAACAAGTTCAGGAAACTTTACATGTGTCCTTAAGTACAAGTAGAAAAACAGGTTACACGTCACATTCTGTTTGGTGTGAGTGGTGCTGTGTCTTTGGGTAAAATGAGAGTGGATTCCACTCTGGGGAAATGAGGAAAGACAAGTCCAAGGAAACTGGGAAGGAAGGAAGCTCCAAGTTTAGCATGATTTTTTTTTTCTTCATTAACCTTCGCTGGTTCTTATTAGTAGCCTCCTTTATTTTGTCAAGATATACATCATGTTTACTAAACAACCTGTCCTGAAATTTGGCAGGATTATTGAGGTCACAACTATAGGCACATTGAGCTGTGTGTACTCTGTAAACTTAAGGCGATTTTTATAAATCTAATAAACTCCTTATTCTCCCTTCTCTGTCTTTCCTGCTCTATTCTCTCTCCCTCTTATCTGTCTCTCAGACTCTCTCCTTCCTTCATTTTCTTTTTGCCCCTTCCTCCCTCCTTTTCACTTTGCATGTTTGTATGTTCATAGGTCAAATAAAATAACAAAAAATGTTTGCAGGGAATCAATATGAAAAACACAGACAAACAGGTTACAGAATTCCATGTACAGCTATAGAGAAAACGTACTTAAAAGGAAACTAATGTGAGACAGTGATAGTTTTCCGGGGATGCCATTCTCTTTCTTTTCCCGGTTTCCAAAATTTCTTGCATGTTACATATTACTTCCGTGATTTAAAAGCTTACCATTAGGGCTTCCCTGGTGGCGCAGTGGTTGGGAGTCCGCCTGCCGATGCAGGGGACACGGGTTGGTGCCCCGGTCCGGGAAGATCCCACGTGCCGCGGAGCGGCTGGGCCCGTGAGCCGTGGCCGCCGAGCCTGCGCGTCCGGAGCCTGTGCTCCGCAGCGGGAGAGGCCACGGCAGAGAGAGGCCCGCGCGCCGCAAAATAAAAACAAAAAAAAAAGCTTGCCATTAAGAGAGAGGAGAGCGGAGTTCTCTGTCTCCAGGGCACCCCTGCGCCGCCAGGCTGGGGAGGGTCCCCGGGTGCCAGGCGGGTGGGGTCGCGTGAGTCCCGTTGCCGTGTCCTGTCTCAGTGCCGCCCCCCTCTTGTCTTCCAGGCTTTGGGAACCATCACTGCAGTGCCTGTCACAGGTCCTCAGGTGAGCTCCTTGCAGAGGTTGGCCGGGCAAGGAGCGGCAGTGCTACCTCAGGTAAGCAGCCTGTGGGTGGGCCCCGGGCTGTCTGTCTGTCTGTCTGTCTGTCCGTCCACAGCCCCTCAGCAGTGAGGTTTAGGTGAGCCCTGAGCTGGGTGTGACGTCGTGGGAGTCCCTTTCCTCTCCTGCCTCCTCTGCCTGCCCTTCAGAGGAGATGTTTGGACCAGACCCAGTTTTTCACACAGTGAGGAACTGAGAAATCAATTTAGTGGGTCATGACCAGGATTTTTTTTTTTTAATGGAATAAACTAGGCTGGACTAGAAGACAGCAGAAAATACCAAGACGCGTCATTAGCATTTTTTCGTGAACAGTTTGTTTCTGGACTGGATCACGACGTAATGGAGATTTTTTTAATATAAATGGATTGATTGATTGATTGATTATTTTTGGCTGTATTGGATCTTCGTTGCTGCACACGGGCTTTCTCTAGTTGTGATGAACAGGAGCTACTCTGCGTTGCGGTGCGTGGGCTTCTCGTTGCGGTGGCTTCTCTTGTTGCGGAGCACAGGCTCTAGGCATGCAGGCTCAGTAGTTGTGGCACGCGGGCTCAGTAGTTGTGGCTCGCGGGCTCAGTAGTTGTGGCTCGCAGGCTCTAGAGCATAGGCTCAGTAGTTGTGGTGCACGGGCCTAGTTCCTCCGCAGCATGTGAGATCTTCCCAGACCAGGGCTCGAACCCGTGTCCCCTGCATAGCAGGTGGATTCTTAACCACTGCGCCACCAGGGAAGTCCTAATGGAGATTTTTGAGTATGGGTCACAGTCAAAAAAGTGTTAGAAGCTCTGGACAAAAGGGTGCATTTCAGGAGACGGCGCAGACGCCAGGCCATGGGCCTGGGTTCCAGCCGGGGTCCCCCGCTGGGCTCTGTACTTTGGGCAAGTCACCTGGGCTGTGTCTCCTCGTCTGCAGAGAGGGTGGTGCCAGTGCCTCACTGGCGGCCGTGAGGACTGAATCGGGGCACAAAGCCTTTGTAGCCAGGCCTGGTCTGGAGCAGAAGCCTGCTGGGGACCGCCCAGTACGCAGCTTTGCAGGGCACCTGCTGCTGAGCTGCGAGGGGCTGCCAGCTGCACAGGCGACAACGGCTCCTGCCTGTCCTGGGGCTGCAGGCCTGGGCAGATGCCCCCAGCTCGAGGACAGTGAGGGGCGGCTGCCCTTGGCCCTCTTGTCCTTGTGGCAGCCTTGCTGAATGCCCACCTGTGCTGAATTAGACAGGATCCTGTCCCCAAGAGGCTCAGATTCCAGGAGGCGGACAGACAAGGAATCAGACGATTTGAACCCAGAGTGAATGGCCTGAGTCAGAAGGATTCACGGGGGCTATGGGAGCCTTGAGGAGGCTCATAGCCTGCCTCGGGGTCAGGGAGGGCTTCCTGGAGGAGATGGTGCTAGAAGCAGGGCTCCGAGGGTAGGAAGTCTTGGTAGTCCAAGGTGGAGGCAGGCCTCAGGGGACGAGCACCCCAGAAGGGTACTGGAGCGTGAGGACATGGGGGTGAGAAAAGGAGGCAGGTGGCAGTGGGGAGACTGGAACCGCAGGCCTGGCAGCACTGGAAGGGGAAGTGGGAGCAGGCCTAGCACTGGAGACATCAGCAGAGGCCTTCTGGGGGCCTTGGATATGGAGTAATGGAGCTGAGCTTTGCTTGTCAGTGACTTAATGGCCGTGGGGAGCTACGGAAGGCTTTTGAGCAAGGGAGGGTCAGGACTGGGGCTCCAAGGAAAGGCTTCTGCTCAAGGTCAGTGCTGTCTTCCTAGGAGTTTTCACTCCCACGTATACCCCTCAACTGTAAAAGTCCAAGGGCCACCTCTCCCTCTGCCCCAATATATGCGCGCGCGCACGCACACACACACACACACACACACACACACACACACACACACACACACACACACACACACACACACACACACACACCCCCGCCACCCCAGTATATATACATATCACTTTGGAAAATCCTAGTCTGTGGGCACCAACAGGCTTATCTGATAAATTTCGCTAATGGGAGAGGGTTGAAACGGCCCATCTCCGTTCCCAGGTAATCTATTTAATGGTGGCCTTCCAGAAAGTTACCAGGTAACCTTCCTAGCACGGGAGGGCAGGGCTGTGGCAGGCAGTGGAGGGAGTTATTCGGGGGCATTTGAAGCTGGGCAGTCCACTGAATGTTGTATTATGCGGGTAGCCAGGGACCTCCCTTCCCTGTAGGGTTGATGCCTGCTTCTAGGAAGGGTAGATGATTTCCTGAAAGTATATTTACTGCTAGCTGGCCTCCTCGGAGTTGCTCGGGAGAATCATGTACTATTGTTAAATAAATAAATCCCTCTTGCTGCACAGAGTTGTACTGATGCCAAGCAATTCCGCTGCCAGTGTCCGCAGCTGTTCCAGGGAACAGTTGCCTGTCTCTTCGAGGTGCTTCCCTGACCCCCTCCCCTAAAGTGAATTTTCTATACTCACAGTAGCTTCTTTTTAGTCAACAATTCCCGACAAATTAATGACATTACATCCTGCTCTTGTTTATATGGTGCAACAGGCTAAAAGTCACACCCACCCACACACACACACACACACACACACAGGCACACCCCCGCGACCAGAGCCCCCGGGCCAGTCAGTGCACGCCCAGGACCCGGGCAGCCTTGGCACGTCCATGGTTTCTCCGCTGCCATCTCCTCACCTCTAACGTGGGAGTCCGTAACCAGGTCATGTCTGTGCCCCTGTCATCTGCCATGGCTGTCATCACCCCATCTGTGTGTCTATCTGACCATGCCACTGTCCCTCCCTCCCCAGGTTAGGCCAAAGACTCTGATTCCAGACAGCCTCCCCGTCACCCCGGGCCGGGACCGGCCACCCAAGCAGCCCCCAACCTTCCAGAAGGCCACCGTGGTCAGTATCAAGAACCCCAGCCCAGCCCTCCCCACTGCCAACAACACCGTGAGCCATGTGCCAACGCCCGGCAGCCAGCCCCGTGCCCTCGCCGAGCCTGCCACCGTCACCTCTCCTCTGAGCAGTGCCGGGGTGGCCTACGCCCTCATCTCCACCGCCCCCAGCAATGCCACCGCCATGGCCCCCAGCACCGCCGTGTCCGTGGTCAGCGACAGCGTCAAAGTCCAGCCCCTCCTCATCAGTGCCGACAACCAGGTGAGGGCGCCCGCGGGCAGGCTCCCCAAGGGGCCAGGTGAAGGGGGCCCAGACAGAATGAATGACCGGATGGTGGAACGATTAGGTGGCCAAAGGAATGGATGAAGTGTGAACAGAGGACAGAATGAACAGCATGGGAATTAACAATAAGTGAATGAATCACTGCGTAAATGGGGTGGTGGGGGTGGGGCGTGTACAAATGAATGAATGAGTCAGTGGTAGAATGAACGGTGTGTGAATGAGGGTGTGGATGAATGAATGAATTGGCGTGGGAATAATGGGGGTACAAGGGAATGAATATGTGAGCAAAAGACTGTGTGGCTGAATGAATTAATACCAGTAGGAAAAGAATGATTGGTCAATGGATGAATTAATAAAATTAATAAAACGTGTGGCCAAGTGGACCACTGGAAGAGTCTCTGCCAATGGAGGGAGATAGTCAAGGACTTTTTGGACCCCGGGTGCCTGAAAGGAATATCTATGATTTGTTGTCAAGATTTAAAACTAAAACTAAGATTCTCTTCCTGTTCCCGTCTGAGCTCCTTGATGATTGTGTGAGGTGTTTGGGGCTGCATAGGAGGTTCCATTTCCTCTCTTTGGTCTCTTTTCCTCTGTTTCCAATTCAGGGTCCACCAGGCTGCCCCTCTCTTGCTTATGGCCCGTGTCCCCTATTTCCCAGCCCTAGTGTCAGCCACTTTCCTGCGGCCGTATGTTATTGCACTCAGTATATTTCAGGGTATGTTTTTGAGCTCTCCCACTTATGGACAGTATCCCCAAGGATTCTCCAAGCCTAAAGAGTTACCGCCAGCCAGGGTCGGATGGCAAGTTGCAGTGAGGAAACGTGCACCCCAGGATGGTACCTGGTCCGGAGGGGGTGCTTAGCAGACGTTTTTGTTGGTTGAGTGTGCTTGTTTCACTGCAACCTCGCTAGCATTCAGTGTTGTCATTTTTAAATGCTTTTTGCTCCTTTAGTTGATGCAGACAGATGCTGGTCGTTGAAAGTGGAATTCCTTTGGTTAGTATTGAACTTGAAGGTTTCCCTGTGCTTTTCAAGAATCGCGTCTCCTTCCATGTGACTCATCTGAGGATATTCTTTGCTCCTTTTTCTGCGGGGGATCTTACTGTTTTCTTCCCATGAATATAAAAAGGGAGCATTTTTTTCCATCCAGAGAATTCTGGGATTTCAAAATTATGTTACAAAGAAGAACAAAGTCCTTTCCCTTAAGCCAGCAGAAAAATGGGTTGCGTTTTCTCTTCATGTGTAAGAGCTTCAAATTCACAAGTCACAGAAAAAGAAAAAAAAAAAGTCTGCTGCAAGTATCCGAGGAAAAAATTCACAAGTCACTATGTGTTCTTAGGAGGGAAAAACAGTTCGAGTCACTCCTGGTTGAGGCCAGACCCAGAGCTGCTCCTGGTAAATTCTTTTACCTAGATCCATGAAAAAGATAACGATTCTTTCCCAGTTCAATGTCCAAAAAAATAAATAAGCTATAGACGATTCACAGGTGAAGGCGACTGTGGCCTAGGGAGAGGCCGGGCAGCGGAAGTCAATCTCAGACTTCTCAGCTCCAGGCACCTCACCCCAACCAATGAGACCTGAACCCCATGAGGACCACTGGATCGGGGCTGCTCTGCCTGATGCTGAGTGCGGTCTAGACCCACCTCCTCCTCTCCATCCCCCCAGGATTGGCAGGGCCCCTCAGAGTGAGCAAAACGGGACCTCCTTTCTCCCACCTGCCCGAACCCCCAGGCCAGGTTTGAGCACCTCGGAAACAGTGGCCTGGGTGTGTGTGTGGCGGCGGGGGCAGGGCAGGCAGCCAGACAGACCCGGGAAGGGTCCCAGCCCCTCTGCTACCTAACCTGATGACCTCAGGCAGGGAGCAGTTCTGAGCCCTCTCAGCCTCAGTTTCCCTTCATGTGAACCGGGGAGAAAGAAACCAACCTGCCTTGAGTGTTCTTGCCGCCTGAATCTTCACAGCCTGCCTGGAAGTAGGTATTGAGGGGGTGGCACTGATAAGGAAGCTGAGGCTCAGAGATGTGAAGTGACCTCTCCGAGGCCACACAGCCGGGAGACAGTAGCACAGGATTGGACCCAGGCCTTCTGGTTCCTAAACCAGGACCGTTTCTCGTGCAGACTCTCCTTAGGGTGCAGGCACCCCGTGGACTGGAGAGGTGGGTGCAAACCTCCTCGTTCCTCTGTGATACCGCCGTTCGAGGCCCCGTGCCCATCTGGGGCGGACACACCTGGCCCTGGGCTCTGTGGGCCTGCCCTCCCTGGGCCCTCCAGTTCCCCCCTCACCCCTCTGCCCCGTCTCCAGGTCATCATCATTCAGCCTCAAGTGCAGACGCAGCCCGAGAACACGGCGGAGTCACGGCCGCCCACAGAGGAGCCATCTCAGGGAGCTCAGGCCACCAAAAAGGAGAAGGAAGACCGGCCCCCGAGCCAGGAGAACCCCGAGGTGGGTGGCTGTGGTCTGGGGGCCACTGTAGGACACGGCTGCCCAGGGAGTGGGGGCGGGCCTCACTCGGACAAGCCCAGAGCACAGCCGCCCTGGGCAGCGGGAGCTCCAGGCAGCACTGGCCCAGTGACCCGAGGTCTCAGCCGTTGCGTGTCCCGGATTTGCTGGCTGAGCGGCAGCGTGGGGCAGTGGTTAGCACCAACCATAGACCAGACTGCCTGGATTTGCATCCCAGCGCAGGTGTGGCGGGGTGCGCAGGGGTGGGGAGCAGATCGCGTCCGTCTCCTCATCTGTGAGGGTGGCACGGGTGAGTCTGCCTTCCTGGCGGCGTTTTTGGGAGGATCTTGTGAGTCAGTGTCTGCCGAGGCGCCAGAACAGTGCCTGGGCGCTGCTGGCTGTTACCCACCACCCCACGCCCCCGCTGTCCCCACCCGTCCCCCTGTCCTCTGGACCTTCCGTCCAGCGGACAGCGCTGCTCTTGGCACATGTGGCCCTAAAGCAGCCCTGCTCCTCCCTCCACCCCACTGTTCACTGAATGTCTGAAGGTGGCACAGCAGGACCCTGAAGGCCTTAAATGTCACAGCTCTTTGTGGAATTTTTGGTCACAGCAAGCGACATCCTTGTGTTCCTGCTTGCATCCTCAGCCATCCTGGGCCCAAATCACCACCCCCTGGGCCTTTCTCCATGTGACTGCCCCTGCCTAGCCCCCATTTCTCTCCCTATTGACTGTTTTATCTTACAAGATTCCCTTCAGAAACCATCTCCTCCAGGCAGCCTTCCCTGACCACCCATCCCCAGCAGGTGGAAGAGATCCCTCTGGGCTCCTCCAGTTCCTTCTGATTCTTTTTATCAAAGTGCTGTCATCCAAAGAAGTCATTCATCCATTCATTTATTTGTCAATCATGTCTTAGCCTTTGCTGCAGGCCAGGCTCTGGGCTGAGGGTGGGGACGCTGAGACGGGGCAGCTGTAGTTCGTCCCGGCTCTAGGGAAACTCACTCCTACTGGCAGACACAGGCACGGCCACTAGGACTTGAACTTGGGTTAAAAAATTGTCAGGTGTCATCAGAGAGTTACAGATTCTGAGCTGTGGGAGATCCAGGGAGAGGGAGAGAGCCGTGTTTCCATCTGGAAGGACTGCGGGAGGCCTTGCAGGGGAGAGGCACAATTGAAGGGACCAGGGGAACAGGTAGGGTTTCAGTAAAAGAGCAAGAGGCAGGGGGAGGGCACTGCCTGGGCAGAGGGGAAAGGACTCAGCACTCCCAGGAAAGTCAGCTGGTCTGTTTGGACCGTGGGTAGCATGTGTGCCTGAGAATTTCTAGACATGGGGTTAAAGATAGACATCGGAGCCCAATCCTGGAAGACCCGACGCATGCTGCTGAGGTGGAACTTGATTCCTTGGGTAGTGGGGAGCCATGGAATATCTTTGAGCAGGAGAGTGACTTGGCTACTGTCCTTTGACATGTCTAGAAAGCCTGCAGGGAATTCACAGAGTCGACCACTCACCAAGGCTGAGATGGAGCCAGTCTCCTCTGTGGCCTCAGGCCCAGTTTTGTCTCAAGAGAGACAACCCGTTCCATTTGGTGGCAATGTATGAGCTCCTACCGTGTGCGGGGTGAGGCCTGGGGCCAGCTCGCAGCTCAGGCTCCCGTGAGCACCCTTCTGTCCTCCCATGGGGTTTGCTGCACGCTTAATTTTCGGGAAGGTTTTCTGGGTACATTCTCTTTGTTCTTTCAAAGTATATCTTAGTCAGTTATTGTGCATTTATACAATTAGTATAATTTCATCTAATTACATAATTAGTGTAAATACGTGTAATGACTTAAATAGAACTTGCAATTACAACACGTCCTGGTGTAAAAATCCTTATTAAAGTTGCTTTCAGAAGAGGGCTGGGAGCAGTCGTGCTGCACAGACGCGGGTTTCATGGCGGCCTTTGAACCTGTTCGTGAAGGATCTAAGTCAGGAGCACTTGAGGCCAGAGCAGCAGCTGCCCCAGAAACTTCACCAGCTGAGCCAGGCGTGGGCTCAGGGGTCCTGGGGTGGGGCGTGGATTTGGGGTAAAGAGACACTGACGGTTGTTTGTAAGGCTCAGCTGTACGGTGGCTTCTGGGGTAGCGGCTGTCGAGGTCCCAGTGTCCATACACCCCACACGCACAGCACCTCTGAGCCCACAGGCGCCTGTGCGATGAGATGAGATGACAGTGCGCACCCAAGACATCGAAGGGACCCGCAGAGTGAGCCCACCTCTCTGCCGAGTGACCCTTCATAGCTAACTGTGCCTCCTCCCCTTCTCTCCCGCATCCTCCCAGCAGCTCTGCGAAGCAGTTGGGGCAGGAATTACAGTGTTCATTGTACAAACGAGGAGGCGGGCTGAGAGAGGCCAGCGTGTCCGCCACTCGACCCAGGCAGAACCGGGGCTCCAGGCTTCTGCCCCAGGCCCCATAGGCTCCTTCCTGTCCCAAGTCCTCTGTCTTCTTTAGGACAGAGCCTGGCCTTTTCTGTGCTACTCATTATCCTGGCCTCGGGCAGCATCTGTCCAAGCTGGTCACCCTCAGATTAGCACGTGCCCTGTGGAATGACAGCCAGAGCGGGAGTTCCAGCCCTGTTCCAGCCCTGCCACACGCCAGCCCCGGCCGCCTCTCTGGGCAAGACCCCTGCACACAGATGCTCCCTTCTTCCACGCCATCCCTGCTGCCACAGCCCCGGTTCCTGCCCTGGCCCTGCCCAGGCTCCCAACCCCTAGATGGGTTCTTCCCTGCAGCTAGAAGGATCTTTCTGCAATTCAGAAATAACCAAGTCACCCGTCTTCTTTTTAAAAAAATTCTTCCATTTAGAATTTATTGAGATGTAATTGGCATATTACGTGGTATAAGTTCAAAGTGTACAACGTAATGATTTGATATATGTATATATTTGCAAAATGATCACCAGGGTCATTGTAGTTAATACATCCATCACCTCACATGGTTATTTCTTTTTTGTGTGATGCGCACTTTTAAAATCTACTCTCCTAGCAACTTTCAAATTTACAAGACAGTATTGTTTACTTCAGTCCAATGCCCTACGGTACTTATTTATCGTATAACTGGAAATCTATAGCTTTTGACTACCTGCACCCATTTCCCCCAAGCTCCACCCCCTGTCACTGGCCACCACCAATTTGTTCTCTGTTGCTAAGAGTTCATTTTTTTTTAAGATGCCATTTGTAAGTGAAATCATAGAGCATTTGTGTTTCTCTGTTTGCCTTATTTATTTCAGCGTACTGCCTTCAAGTTTCATCCACATCATCAAAAATGGCAGGGTCTCCTCAATTTTGTATCGGTCACCCCCTTTCTTGAAACCCATCAGAGCACAGCCCCCAGTAGTACGGCTTTGAGTTCTCGCTTGGACCATACCTCCCTGCCGCAGACCCTCAGCAGCAACAGACAGCATGCAGCAAGAGCCAGTAGTAAAGACGTGACTGTGCGTCACCGTGTCCCAGAAACACAGGCAGTGAGCACGACAGATGCTCCAGACCGTGGCCCCCAGGTTCAGAATCAGATGAGGGTGACCAGGCGGCTCCCAAGGGGCAGTGGGTCCCCTAAATTCTTCTGGCAAGAGAGGAGCAGAACCAGGCTTCCCTGCTAGTCCAGGAGCCAGCCTGTGCCTGGGGCCACCCCTGGGCTGGGCAAGGCCAGAGTGACTGCAAACTTGCTATAAGGCGAGGGTAAGCAGTAGGGAGAGAAAATGAAACGTAAAACAGAGAAGAAAAGAAGCAGTGCCCAAGGTGAGTCTGCAGACAGAATTGTAAGACACATGATGCAAAATCTAATGCTAAGAAGGACAATCAATAAAATCAACTTTTGGAACATGAATTCATTCAAGAGGAAGCTAATTTTGTGGCGCATTCATAGCATGACTTTTAAATATGTTTACGATACTCAAAGAAGTTAAAAATAAAGGAATAACATCCACTTGAAATAAATAAGGGATAATGAAGCCAAAAAATCATGAAAATAAAACATCAGACAGTTACAAAAATTATTTGAACATCTGGTAATGAAAAACATGGTGATTGAGATAAAAAAAAATTACTAGACAGGATGAACAGAGGTAATTAGTGCTCTGGAATATGACACCACGGAGATAGCACAGAGATGCAAAGGAGCATAAAAAATTATATGTATGTAATTTTATATATAAAATTATATATATATGTATAAATTATATATTCACATATATATATGAAGCAGCAGAACTGAGTGGTGTGGGCAGGGCCTTGCTGACGGCCAGGGAGCTGCAGGTTGCAGAAAGACTCATCCATGCCGAGGATCCCAAGTCTGTATTCAAGTGCAAAAGGACAGGCAGTGTCTGTGAGCCGCACTTAGGGTAGACAGGGCTGGGACCACACAGAGGAATATGGAAAGAGAACCTCCGTAAGGCCTCCAGGAGCAGAGGAGTTGCCACAGACCCTCCTTGACCTTGTTGGGCAGCAAGGAGGCGTGATAAAACAGAATCCCACTGAGGCACCATATTTGAAGAGTGAAGTCAGTACAAAGCCACCGTAAGGAGAAGTACAAGAAAGAGAAGCAATTTTTACCATAAATAGAAAACACTACCCCCAAAGTCCAGTATTCTACTGTGAATTAGAAGAAAGAAATCAATACAGTGATCACTGCTAAGGAGGAAGCTGCAGTGCTGAAAGACAAGGGCTGAGGGAAGAGATGGCTAAATGGCTGCAGTAGTGGAGAGACGGAAACGTGAGCTGAAAATTTTCAGGAAAAAATTGGAAGACCATCACATAAATACATAACTGGGGGAGCACAGGGCATCATAGTCACAGCAGAAGACAGAGGAAGACCTAGCAGGCAGGAGCGAGAGAAGTATGCAAAACAAAAAAGAAAGAATGGATTTTTAAATAATAGGAAGTGGTACCTAGAGAAGACAAGCAAAGAAGATACAACAGGTGGATAATTGGAGGCTTTCAAGAAGAAAACCGGGATGACGGGGCAGAAGAGCTACAGTAAAACTTTCCCACGGTTCCCTGCGATAATGAATTTGGCTATAACGTGGTAGGCAGTTTGCTCCTGTTATGTCGGTGATGGTGGGCTGAACTTATCTTCTGTGGAGGAAGGGCTGGAGGGAAGGGAAGGCTGAGTGGAGAACCAGGAGGCAGAGCATGGGCTCCGCTAGTATTGGCCCAGCCCAGTCTTCCCAGTTCAGGCCAGTGAAGGGGGTGCCAGGACTGGCAGATTCCTAGAGGCCACTGTCCATTCAGCCACAGGACCCTAGAAGTGACATTGAAACCAGGTGGCACCCAACTGCAGCCTGCACTGGCATCAATTGGCCGAAGACTTGCTGGACCTCAGAACCCCTGTTTGAGCAGATCTGCAGCCACCTCAGTCATTTTTAGTAGTCTTGTGTTGACCTGAGCACACATCTTACAGGATTGACTCTGATGGGCCTGACTTTTCATGGTGTGGTGTTGCTTCACTGTTTTTAAAAGGTAATTCAAGGGACTTCCCCAGTGGCACAGTGGTTGAGAATCCGCCTGCCAATGCAGGGGACGTGGGTTCGAGCCCTGGTCCGGGAAGATCCCACATGCCACGGAGCAACTAAGCCCGTGCACCACAACTACTGAGCCCACGTGCCACAACTACTGAAGCCCACGCGCCTAGAGTCCGTGCTCCGCAACAAGAGAAGCCACCGCAATGAGAAGCCCATGCACTGCAAGAAGAGTAGCCCCTGCTCGCCACAACTAGAGAAAGCCAGCGTGCAGCAACCAAGACCCAAAGCAGCCCAAAAAATAATAATAATAATTAAAAATTTTTTAATTAAAAAAAGGTAATTCAAGAAAATTTATTGAAATAAAAGGAGACTTTAATTTCTATACTGTAAGGACACACTAGGTTCCAGGGGAAGTTGACGTGTGTGCTGGGTTAACATTGGGTCACAGCCCAGTAAAGTCACTGACTTTTTTTTTTTTTTTTTTGCGGTACGTGGGCCTCTTACTGCCGTGGCCTCTCCCGTTGCGGAGCACAGGCTTCGGACGCGCAGGCTCAGTGGCCATGGCTCACGGGCCCAGCCACTCCGTGGCATGTGGGATCTTCCCGGACCGGAGCACGAACCCGTGTCCCCTGCATCGGCAGGCGGACTCTCAACCACTGCGCCACCAGGGAAGCGCAGTCACTGAATTTTAGTGGAAACGAGAGGATCCGTAGGCATCCAGGCAAAAGCAATCAAGTCGCTTTAGAGGGAGAACAACGGGCCGGCTTCTAACTTTTCCACAGCAACATTCAGTCCAGAGCACAGGAGAGCGGGAAGAGAGAAGGGGATCCAGGGATCTTAGGTGCAGCCAAGATGTCCTTCACATTGAAAGGCCACAGACTAAAGGTTTTAAATCTGCCAAGAACTCAGGAAATTTTGTTCCCATGAGCCATTCGTGAGAAACTACTAGAAACTCAACCCCCATCGACCACGAGACGCTTGGGAAAGCTTGGCACCAACGCTGGTTGAGCGTCG